AACAGATTCACATTGGCTGAGGAGGCATGGTTACCAGCGTGTCAGGTCTGCAGTCTGATAAGAGCAGCGGGGAAGCCGTCAGCCATAGTGCTGCTTTCAATATCGAAGCATCAGGGCAGGCATCAGAAGAGGCAGCCTACATCCTTATCTATACCCTATTCAGATGGCCAGCTTCTTTCCTTTTCCCATTATAGAAAGCTGCCAGGGAGCAGTGGGAAGCATCTGTAGAATGAGCATGATAAAGTGTGTGAGCTGGCTCAGCTTTGACATTCCTGTGATCTTTTCCTCTGCAGTGTTTCCTTCCCTCCAAGAGAAAGAAGCCAGTGCTGGCTGCTGGCAGCCATGCCGACCCTGCCGGCAGTCTCCTGCAGAGCACTGGCTAGTGACTGGCATGTTCATCTTGGAGAATGTGCACTTCACCAAAGACGTGAGCAACATCAAAGTTTCTGGTCTGTCTAGAGGGTGAGATTGGACCCATTGGCTGGCATTGCTTAGATGATAAGAACAGTTGCTAAGTAGCTTTGGAACAGGTTTCCCATGAGTAACTGCTGCACCCCAACTATAAAAGCTCTCCCACGAGAACCAGCCTTGGCGGGGTGTGACTGTTGTGCTGCCTTCTCTGTGCTAATACAGGTATGAGCATCATCATGTGTCCCAGGACATGCAGAGGGCTAGTGCTGCTCCCCTCATACCTCAGTGTGCCTCTTGCCTACTCCATGGTGCATCCATGCCCTACCTTCTACTCCTCCCAGCTTTACAGTACCATATTTCTTCCTCTTTGGCATTCTGCCTAGGTTCTTTCCTACCTAAGGCTCCCTTTCTTCCCTTCTTTCTCTACCAGGGCAATATCCACCGTGGTGACACAGGACCACAGATGCTCACGCTGATCATTGAAGCTATCTGTTTCTCTAATTCAAGAACGTATATAAGTACCCAAGAGGGGCTTGGTTGCATGGCTCACCTAATTATCCACAGTAATTTCTTCTTTGTTCAAGTTACAGAAGTTGCTGGGCGCTGGTGGCTCACACCTGTAATCCTAGCTACTTAGGAGGATCACAGTTCAAAGCCAGGCAGGGAAAGAAAATCCGTGATACTCTTATTTCCAATGAACCACTTGAAAACTGGAAGTGATGCTATGGCTCAAGTGGTAGAGTGCTAGCTCTGAGCTGAAGAGTTTAGGAAGAAGTGCCTAGGCCCAGAGTTCAAGCCCCACAACCAAAAAAAAAAAAAAAAAAAAAAGTTACAGAAGTTAACCCACTCCTTGGATTACTTTGGATGCATCTCAGATAGCATGTTTGAGAGCCTTTGCTCTGGGTTGATATCGACATTTAGTGTGAAGATGAATGTGGCCCTTCTTCCCTTCATATTTTGATGTAATTTCTCTTTATTAGTTCCTCCCTGCTACAGCTTGGACATCAAACATCAGATTGTAAACCCCAAAGGAAAATCAGCCCTAATTGTTTACTAGGCTATATATCAGAATATACGAAGGATATAGACCTTTGCCAAATTATACCTGTGTTTAGAGCTCATCTTATCTGGAGAGGTAACTTTCTTCATTTCTTTTTTTTGAATTTTATTTTATTAAGATGTTGTATGGAGGGGTTACAGTTGCATGAGTAAGGCGATGAGAACATTACTTGTGGATCATTGTTACCCCTTCCCTTCCTTGTTATTGTCACCATCCCTTCCCTCCCTCAGCTCCCACACTCCTATCCCCTCTCCCCCTTTCCTTTCTTCTTATGAAAGACTTTTTATTTTATTTCTTGTTGGTCCTGGGGCATGAACTCAGGGCTGGGGCTCTGTCTCTAAGCCTCTTTGTGCTCAAGGCTAGCACTCTACCACTTGAGCCACAGTGCCACTTCTGGCTTTTTCTGAGTAGTTTTATTAGAGATAAGAGTTTCATGGACTTTACTACCTGAGCTGGCTTCAAATAGGAATCCTCAGATCTCAGCCTTCTGAGTGGCTAGGAGTAAAAGCGTGAGCCATGGGTGCCTGGCTCAAGGAAAGATACACACACACACACACACACACACACACACACACACACAATTACCATTTATGAATATATAGCCATATTCAGTAAACCAAGACTCAGAGCTTTGGTTCCACTGAAATCTTGATAATAACTCAAAATACAAACTTTTTCCCCCCACCAAAATGCTTGAATTTCTGTGGCTCTTAAGAACAAACTTATTGGAGTTTTTGACATGATTTCCATGGGTGGGCCAGGTCACTTCTCAGTGACCTACCATCCCAGAGGGAATCGCTATAACCAGGTGCCACGGATCCTCCCAGCATCCCTTCCTCTGGAGGCCTAAAATCCAAGAGAGGACTAACTAAACTTTATCATCCAAACTTCCTTCTTTAGCATCTCTAGCATGGAAGGGCCCCCACTAAGTGCGGGCCTTGTGCACAGTGTGGCAGCAGCTTACTAACTAGAGAGGTGGTGTTTCCTTCCCCACTCAGAACCCAAATGAACACCAATAGAAAGTGAGAAAACAGTGTTTCAGACAAGGTCAAGTGTACATTATTACGGCATTTTGGGAAATTTCACAGCACTCTTCCATTCAGGTAGAAGGAACCAAAGCAGTAGGTATATGAGTGTGGAGACTCTCGTATCAAAAGCCAAACTCAAGCTCAGCATTTTTTTTTTTTTGGTGCTGGTCCTAGGGCTTGAACTTAGGGTCTGGGCACTGTCTCTGAGCATTGTTGCTAATGGTGGCGCTCTACCACTAGAGCTATAATTTCATTTGTTTGCCACAGCAACCCTGTGGAGACATCTCATGAATAAGAACATCTGGAATCCTAGAAGGGCAATGGTTTCACACATCTAGAACACATCACCCTACCCCTTGGACTTCCTCTACCAGGCATTACCTCCCTGAGCGGGGGTGATACTGCTCATGGAAAACCCCAGAAACCCAGACTTCTGTCTCTGTCCCATCTCTTAATCCTGTGGTCACAACATTGTATGCTCAGGATTCCTACAGTAGCCCAACCAGAAAAGGGGAGAATCCTGCAGACCTGTCAGTGAGGGAGACAAACGGGCCTCTCTCCTAGGGCAGGGGCATCTATAGAGATACCTAACCTGCCTGGACTTGTCTGGGGCTCTCCATTCAGACCCATTCAGATCCAGGGCAGTCCAAATCCCCAGGCCAGGTGTGCATTTGCCCTGGAGCCTCAGGAGGCATCACAGGGAGCAACAAAGATCCTGGGGTAGTGGGTCCTTTCAAGAGGTTCCCTTGGAGAGGTGGGTGGTGGGAGGGTGCCATACTTGGCAAACATTGAAGACTTAACACTTGTGCTAGGGTCCCCTGAGTGTCTTGAATTCATGTGTCAACCTGGTGTGGTAGGTGCAATCCTTGTTTTACAGGTATGGGATACTGGCTCAGAGAGGTTAAATACCATTTTAAGGTCATCCAGCTAATAAATAGAGCCAGGGTTGAAATTCCAGTTTGAGAGGCACCAGAACCTTTGTATTTCCCACTGTACCTCAGTCACCAAAGAAGTGCCTACTTATACCCCCTGAGAGCCTCGGGGTTTACAGAGGAGACCTGGAGATCCTCCCTCCGAGGGCGTTGGTACAGATTTGGAACTCAGCAATCTGGTGAATGAAAAACCTGGAAGGAAAAGGGTTACAAAAAAAGGGGTTACTGCTGGGTCTCAGGAGGTAGGGCAAGGGGTCTATGGTCTCATGGTGGTACCCAGCAGCTATGTGGGCTCCTCGGTATCTAGGAGAGATGGACTTCCTAGCATTGTCTTTCAGCAGGAACTGACTACCAAGGGGCACAAATACTCCCTCTCCCCACCAAAAAAAAGGCAAGCCAGGGGAATACAAAGCATTTACTTTGAACAAAGGATGTAACTAGCACAGAGAGAGAGAGAGAGAGAGAGAGAGAGAGAGAGAGAGAGAGAGAGAGAGAGAGAGAGAGAGAGAGAGGAGGCCCATTGGGGAAGACAGCTACTGGACCAGCCTGAGAAGGGGCTTGTACTCTCCCTTCACTGTCTCCATTCCCACAGGAGCTACCATTCAAATTGGCCAGGGTTAAGTGGCTGGTAACAGAACACTTGAGCCTCCACAGCTGTCTGAGATGACCTTAGTCTTCCACCTGGGTGAGGGAAGGCTATACACCCAGAAGGGTTGATCTGAGGGTGGAAGGTCAGAAATCAGGTGTGATGACAGAGATCATGAGCAGAGGAGGGGCTGAGTCCTGCTAGCAGCTTCGTGGTGACTCCAGAACTCTCGGAACTCACGTTGCACAGCTGGAGGAAGCTTCTTGCTGGTGCGCCACCTTTGGTTGCACGCGGTAGTGCAGCAGGAATCATTGACTTTAGGTAGGATAAGGTTGAACAGTCCCCTGGACCTATACAGTTTCATGTAATCTCTTTCTCATGCATGCATATCTATATATTCTGTATAAATATTATATATACTTTGTATTGGAAAGGTGGCTCATGCCTGTAATCACACCACCCAGGAGGCTACCTTGTCTTATAAAAAAGAGAAAAGACCCTTCTGCTCTCTCTATGGGCTGAGGATGTACCTTGGTGGAGGAGATTTGCCTAGCATGTGCAAGGCCCTGAGTTTGTTCCCCCAAACCCTCTAAAAGGATTCCCCCATTTATCCTTTTACCATATTACATCCTCATCTCTATCTGTGAACATACAAACACGAAAGTATACACACATGCACATACACTATTTTAGCTGAAGGAAACATCCCAGGAATGTAAAATCTCTGGGCCTAACCAAGATCCTTCCCCAAATTAGATTAAGCTGCTTTTGCCTAGCAAAAGCTTTCTTAAAGAGTTATCCATTTAGATAGAAAAAGGGAGGAATGAGTTTCAGTGGTACCAAAAGAAAGATGAATTCTTCTCTTTCTACCTTTCATTCACTGTATGTTTCTCCCCACAGCCCCTGTCCCCCCCTCTCTCCCCCCCCCCCGCCCCCGTCACTCTTACAAGCTTAGAACAAAATGGCTTGGCACTTTTAAATTGTCATACTGCTTTATCATTAACTTTCAGCATCCTTTTTCTTTCATTGGCATTTTCCTTCCAGAGGTAAATGTGTCTAATTATGAGACCACCAGCCTGGTTAGCATTTGCCACCACCCTCACACAGCTCACGTGCTTCCCCAGACTGTCCCCAAGAATCTCCCGATCTATCAGCCCTTGCTGGAGACGGCCCAGCAGGACAAAGTCGGTACAGGACCGAGGCATTCCATCAGGGTGGTAGCCTATCTCCACCTGTCCCTTCCGTAGGGCATACTTTCCATCCACGATGGCTCCTGTTATCACTTGCACTCTTCTCAGGTTTGCTGGATGGTTCAAAAGCACCGTCAAGTGGTTCCCTGTGCTAACGTTGTAGGTCCAAAAAAATGACTCATCCAGTGTGTAAGCCTCCCAGGGCACATGAACATCAGAAACCTTCATGTCTGTGAAAACAGCGGCAGGGAGGATGTGTGGACCGTAAGGATTCTCCTGAATGTTCACGGCATTTTTGTCACCAAAGGGGTGACGGTACAACCTGTGATAGAAGAGGAATGGTCTGTAGAGCAGAGGGGTTTTCTGCCCCAGGAGGGTACGGAAGTGAAGGATCAGCCTGTCGAGGGGGTTTTCCTTGTGGAATAGGAGCAGGAACTGGGCCAAGAACGGAAGATCCCTGCTGTGGAAGAGCTTGCCAACGAGTCCCATGTTAGAGAACTCCAAGAGTACCCATGGGTTGGGTTTCATGGTGGCCACTGTTGAATAAATATGGGTGACAAAGTTGGGGGCACAAAAGACGTTGTCCTCTAGTAGCAGGAAGTAAGGAGAGAGGTTTTGGGCGAAGCTCATGAGGAAGGCATGGTCTGTGTTCTGCTTGGAGTAGAATTGCCCTTGTGAGGTCTCGTTCTGGGTGCCATCCACAGTGGGGTAGGCGTCAGGGGGAGCATGGATCACTAGCAACTTCCCTGCCAAGATCTGTGAGCTGTAGAGTCTTGAAATGTGGGAGACCATTTGTCGGAGCCAGGTGAAGTTGGCATCTGCTAGGTGGAGCAGCACTGTGAGATGCTTCTTCTCAGCTGGGGAACAGGTGCGATATAGTGAAGCCAAGGTGTCCAACAGGTGGCCTTGATTTTGTTGTGACACTGAGGAGATCCCCACTGTCAGCCATGCTAAGAAGAGGGGAAAGCAGGTACAGTTGTCAGCGGGCAGTAGTGGTGAGGATTGTTATAGGGTTCTGGCACGGTGGAGGAGGCTTGTCATTCTAGCACTGTGGAAGCTAAGGCAGGAGGGTTACAAGTTTGGGCTTCAAAAGAGACTCTCTAGACAAAAATGGATTATAGAGAGGGAGGTGTTATTTGGGACCCCCTCTCAACCCTCTCCCATTTCTCATTTGTTCTTTGGCTGAAGGAATTTTTGCATCCTTGCTTCTCTTAAGCGTGCCCCATAACTTAGCAACATCATCCTCGACTTCAAGCTTATTAGATGTGTAGAATCTCAACCCCAGAATTTTTTTTCCTGCTAGCCCTAGGGCTTGAACCCATGGCCTGAGCCCTGTCCCTGAGCTTCTTTTGCTCAATTCCAGCATTCTACCACTTGAGCCACAGCGCCACTTCTGGCTTTTTCTGTTTATGTGTACGAGGAATCGAACCCAGGGCTTCATGCATGTTAGGCAAGCACTCTACCTCTAAGCCACATTCTCAGCCAACCCCAGCATTTTAATGAAATCAGGAGAATTGTATGCATATTAGAGTTGGAGAAGTACTAGCTACATGATGCTGAGTCCTTGTGGGTTTCTTGGAGTATTTGAACCTCAAACTTTGAAGCACATAGTTTAAGTACTCAATAAGCACTATTATTGTAGTGAGTATACTTCTTTTTCTTTTCTACTCAGCTCACCTTCCAAAAGGTTTCCTTTGAAGAAAGATCTTAAGAGGGGATTCACCTAGAAATCAGGAGCCTAAGCTTTTTTGTTTTTGTAGTGCTGGGGAATTGAACCTGGCAAGCACACTAGGCAAGTGTTCTACCACTGAGTTATGCCCTCAGTGCAGGAGCCTACAGTTCTACTCAATTCTGTCACTGGATGCGTAATCTTGAGCAGATACTTCTATTGCAGGGTTTGGGTCTAAATACATAAAGCTAAGGGAGTTGGACGATGCAACTCCAAGACCCTCTTATACAAATGTTCTCCTCTATCGAACCTAATGTCTGCACCACCTTCTTTCTTTCTTTCTTTCTTCTTCTTCTTCTTCTTCTTCTTCTTCTTCCTCTTCCTCTTCCTCTTCCTCTTCCTCTTCCTCTTCTTCTTCTTCTTCTTCTTCCTCTTCCTCTTCTTCTTCTTCTTTGTTGGTTGTGGGGCTTGAACTCTGGGCCTGGGCACTGTCCCTCAGCTAAAGGCTAGTGCTCTACCACTTGAGCCACTTCCAGTTTTCTGGTTGGTTCAGTGGAGATAAGAGTCTTATGGACTCTTCTACCTGGGCTGGCTTTGATCTGTGATCCTCAGATCTCAGCCTCCTAAGTAGCTAGGATTACAGCCACTGGTGCCTGGCTGTCTGCACCTTCTTAATTACTCTTTACCCTTCAATAATTCAATGATTCTTTTTCCTTAGTTACACATTTTATTTATTGTTTGATTTCCCTTACTTAAACGTGTACATAAACAACTTCAACCACAGCTCTTCCTTTTACAGGGTTTACTTACTACTTTTCCTTTTACAATTCTATGCCATAAAGCTACAGTCTTCTATGTCCAGGGAATCAATTATCATTGCAGCCCCAAATATTAAGTTACATAAAGTAAGATGAGTCATGCTCTTTGTTTACCCAATACAACTATGTTCTGTGGATGACACTAACAAGTGTTCAGAAGTGGTTAACTTGGATTTCATTTTCTTACTACAACAAACAATTTTTTCCTTTCTTCCTCAAACTTCTGACATGTGAACATCTTGGGGAAAGGGGAAAGAACTGTTCATCAGATTCAAATACTGCTGGGCATGGTTCTGCCTTTTCTTTTCCCTTTCTTTTCATTCTTTCCCAGCTATATTACCCTACTTCCCTGAGATACTCCACTCCTTCCCCTCCTTAGCACTCACTCTTTCTTCTCTTTTGGTTTTTTCTTAAATATTTCAAGGTGATGGTGTGCCAGTCTTCCAGTGGCCGTAGGCTCTTCTTACTGTTATAGCTGTCCTCCTGGGATGATAGAAAAGGAAAATATGTACCTCTTTTCACAAAAGAACAGAATTGATGCCCCAGTGTCATCCCATAAGTTTCTCTAGGGGGAAAAGATTGAATTATTCTTCCCAAAGTGAAGCCAGTCTGAGGATGCCTGGCCATTGGCCAAGGGACCCAGGGCTCAAGCAGTATTCATTCTCTCCCTTACCTTAAACACATGAGAAATAAATGCAGCTTCTTTATGGACTAAGGGGTTCAAGTCCACACTCCCATCCACCCTAGAGCTTCCTCCTCTCAGGCAGAAAAGTAAAAGAAGGAGAGCCAAAGTGCATTGGGTGGATCTTCCTGGCCTCTACATTCCTACCCTCCCTCCATTCCCAGTTTGCAAACTACAGTACACATTGCAACTTGGTCTTTAATAATCACCAGGTTTTGACTATGCTCAATTTCGTCAAAGAGTTTCAAAGTGATGAAGAGCCACAGGAGTAGGAAGCCCACTGCAGTTAGGAAGCTGTGTCTGTTGGGATACCACGTCATGGCTGCTTTGGGATAGGGTTCCTAGAACAAGAAGTCAACACATACAACTGGAGGACTTTTGTCCTCTTGCTGATGCCTAGAATTTCTCTTCCATCCTCACCCACCCTTTCCCCTAATAGTCTATCTGAGAGCATGATCATGATTCACTTAGGCCTAAACTTGCCCTTTATCTGGTTTAGGAATCAGATGAAATGTTAAGTCTTATTCTCTACCTAAAGAAAGAGGGCCACTGAGGAGAAAGCTAGGTTTGCTTAGCATTTCTCCATGTTGTTATTATGACAGAACCTTCAAGGCTATGCTTAGCTTCAAGTGACATCATCTTATAGAGCAACACTTTCGACCTAAATTCCTCTATGTTAAATAGAAGTGCCAAGTCAGAATGGCACTTCTGGAGCAGGAGGGTACTTGTCCATCCAAGTACCACCATCTGCCAGCACATCATGCAACACAAACTTAAATGTACTTTATTTGCATCGATAAAGAATGATAGCCACAAGTGCATCAGATCATGTGAGACACACTGGACTCAGGAGCTTATGGATCACATCAGAAGTGATCACCTCACCTGTGCCCCCAAGACTGACGTGTGACAGGGAAACGGACACATCACCTGCTTCCTTGGCACGACTCTCATCTAGGAAAACTGCCGTAGTCAAGACCTCTGCCCTGACCCCAGCTTGAGTGCATTTTCACGGTTGCCTTCCCAGTAAATGGTTTGATAGAGGTGAACCTACTTTTCTTCTCAAGTCATAATTTTTAAATAAGACATAAAACATACTTATTGATAGTAATAGGACTTTACAGATTAAACCTTTTCTTACCTGGCTTCCTTAAGCAGAGATGTTTTGTCACATAGGTAATTCAGGAATTGTCAGGAACAATTCAGGAACAAGCCTGTATTGAAAGGAAATAGCTTTCTCTAGACCAGGAACATATAGATGCCAACCCTGAATGAAAAGGCTTTGCAATCCCAGTCACACTGATTTTTTTTTTTTTATTTGGTCGGTTGTGGGGCTTGAACTCTGGGCTTGGGTGCTGTCCCTGTGCTCTTCAACTCAAGGCGAGCGCTCTACTGCTTGAGCCACAGCTCCACTTCCGGTTTTCTAATGGTTTATTGGAGATAAGAGTCTCACAGACTTTCCTGCCCGGGCTGGCTTTGAACTGCGATCCTCAGATCTCAGCCTCCTGAGTAGCTAGGATTATAGGTGTGAGCCACTGGCACCTGGCAAGTCACACTGATTTTTATAAACCTGGAATATAACTCTGTCCCCCTTTGACTCTCCTGTGTTATTGACCAATTGTTTTGATTCAGCTCTGAATTTGACAGGCTCCTGGACGAGGGAGGGAGGGAGAAGGAGAGGGAAAGGGAGTGAATGGATAAGAGAAGCTGGGCTGATCAGGGCTAGTTACCTTACAAGTCTTGAACAGAGGATGAGTGAGTCTGGGCACAGCACTCTGAGGCCCCTTGAACTTGGCTCCCTCTGTGATGTCCCTCTTATGTCCCAGTCACCTCTGGCCCTAGCATCAGAGGGACCCATGTCCAGGACCCCCCTGTGATACGTGCATGCTTCACAATCAGTGCCTAGTAATGATCATTCACCCTGCAGCCCAGCAGCAGTGCTGTATGTGCTGGAGCCCGAGCGTAGGGCCTGTGCTCTCACTGCTCCCCATCCCCCTGCTGTTGCGCTACCACTTGAGCCATGCCTCTAGTTCTGAAATACTGTCTCGCGCGTGCGCGCGTGTGTGTGTGTGTGTGTGTGTGCGCGCGTGTGTGTGCGCGCGCGCGCGCGCGCTTGTCCTGGGCTTGAACTTAGGGCCTTGGTGCTGTCCTTGGGCTTTTGTGCTCAAGGTTAGCACTCTACCATTTGAACCACGGTACTACTTCCAGCTTCTTTGGTGATTAATTGGAGATAAAGACTCTCATGGACTTTCCTGCCTGGGCTTGCTTAGAACTAAATCTCAGACAGGATTACAGGCATGAGCCACCACTGCCTGGCTTGAAATATCTATCTATCTATCTATCTATCTATCTATCTATCTATCTATCTATCTATCTATCTATCTATCAGCAAATACTGTATCTTCTCCTCCTCTCCCTCTTTCTCCTCCCCCTCCTCCTCCTCCTCCTCCTCCCCCCCCCTCCTCCTCTTCTTTCCTCTTCTTCTTCCTTCTCTGAAATTAGGACCTTATGCTTGCCAGAAAAATGCTCTACCACTTGAGCCAAGCCTCCAGCTCTTTTGCTTTAGGTTTTTTTTTTTAGATAGGTTCTCAGCCTTTTGCCCAGGACTGGACTCAGACCACAATCCTCCTACTATGCTTCCCTTGTAGCTGTGATTATAGGTGTAAACTACCAGCTGGGGCTACATAAAAAATACACTTAAAATTTAAATATTGGCTCTTTAAGATAAAAAAGGTAAATAATATGCATAACTATTGCCCCCAAATATATACACTTTTTTCCTCAAATATATTTTATGGATAGTAATAAATTTAAGATCTCAGGAGGCTGAGATCTGAGGATCATGGTTCAAAGCCACCTTGGGCAGAAAAGTTCCCATGAGATGCTTATCTCCAATAAACAACTAAAAAAAAAGCTGGAAGTGGTACTGTGGTTCAAATGGTAGAGCATTAGCCTTGATCACAAAGAGGCTCAGGGATAGCACCCAGGCCCTGAGTTAAAGCCATCTGACACAGCTGTATCCAATTGGCCTACACCCTGTTTGAAAATTGTGACTGGAGACTGAATGTCTAAAAGTTGGGAGAGCATTCATTAAAAAGCCTAAAATAATGGGTTTCTCTTGGAAAACTGAAATTTGCTGCAAGTCTGGTCTGAGTCTTGATGGCCCCAGAAATTGGACATGCATTCTCTCTTTCTCCATAGATTTCTTCTGGCTGACTTCGCTCTTGTGTTTGGCCCTTGCTGGCATTGGGGTCGGTTTTGTCTGTTTGAGACAGGGTTTTGAATGCCCTTCTCCCTGAGGACCAAAACTGGTTTCCTGGGCTGCAGCGCCCCCAGGTGGAAGTGAGAGGGAACTGGGAAGCTTCGAAGTCCCTCAGAAATAACCAACCAGGATGAGAACAAAGGAAGGGCTCATGGTTCCCAGGAATCACTCTGAGCAGAGGAATGAGGGAGGACAGTTTATGTGAGCTGTGATGTTCACCCACGGTGTGGACTCCCCCTGAACCCTACCTCTGATCTGTGGTGAGATTCCTTTCTGCTTCTCCTCCTGCCTAAAGCTCTATCCTCAGTCATTTGGAATCATACAAGCTCCACCAGTATACAATTTCCCACCAGTAAGAGACAACTTAGAAGCTGCTTTCACTGGACCCATGAGTTATGTAAAAGGAGGATAAAAGCTGGGCACCCAGGCAGCCCCCTCTCCTTTGCACCCGTGCCCTTTGATGGAAGCCATTCCTTCTTGTAGTGACTTTACAATCCCCTCTGGGCTCCAGGAAAGGCAGGGTTGATCAGGAATAAACACCTTGTGTCAAACAGTAGAACTGCTACAAAGAAAACAAAAGCCCAGGTCAGTCCACCTACCACCTGCCACCTGTTATCTGCCAGCAACAGTGAATGATTTGCTCCAACCTCTTTTAAGTGGTGAAAAGGGAAGGTCCTCAGAACGGCCCCCAGAAACCAAGACTAAGATCATGGTCAACCAGGCTATGCCTGTGTGATCTAGCTGTGGGTGTTTTAATTATGTATACCTTTCTCATTCTCTTTCCTAATTCTTCCTGCTGAGAATGTACTGATAAGAGTTCTTTCCAAGGCCTATTCATACCATGTAATAAATCTTTCCCTGCCTTGACCATGTCTCATTATTTGGCAAATGGGGACCTGTGGCTGGACCTGAAACACGAGACTCCAAGAATTTGGGCTTGGGTGGTGGTGTCACTCCCTTTTAACCAATACTGGTGAGTTATCAATCGGTTACGTGGTGCTAGGCACAAGAGATTGCTCCTCCCTCTAGCCACAGCCCACCACTGGGAAGGGGGGAAGGAATGAGGGGAGGCTTATGGATGGGGAGAAAGCAGGGGGAAAAGATAAATAAATACCAAGCCAAAAGCACAGTGATAATTGGTGACATGCAGTAGTAACCAGACGCTGTAACAATACACAAAAAGCAAGGACACAAGTCCAGTGGTTTGTGTGTTTTCCCAGGGGCCACCATACAGGGAGCATTCCAAAGCACTAGAGGTGGCTAGTTGAGATGATAGCATTGAACTGGAGGGAAGTTCAGATGGATTAGCCTGGGCACCAGGGAAACCAAAGTCAAACCCCAGGTCTGGCAGAAGGGAGGTGGTACCTGGGTAGGTGGGGGTGGGCTGGGTGCAATGGGTGTGGAGAGGGATCTGGGTTCAATTTCCAGCACACACACACACACACACACACACACACACACACACACACGTGTGTGTGTGACCTTTAGGAGGTGGAGGGAGTATATTTGTTTCCCTTCTGTTCCTTCTACCAGGTAAGGATGCACCAACAAGCTGAGGAGCAGAGTCTGCAGAATGAATGACCGCAGTATGAGCTAAGACCGTCCTGCCTCTCCTGCACTTTCTCCTCTCCCCTCTCCTGCACTGTGCCTTGGAATTCACCAGACGTTCCTCTCTTCTCCAAATACACACTGGATAGCACACCTGGCCTCCCATCATGCTCCCCTTCCATTTTCTTAGCTCCACACTGCCCCCTTGTGGTTGCCCTCATCACTGCAGGAATGCTAGGTGTTTGCCTTCCAAAGCCTGTCCTCTGGGGTGTGTTGTGCTGTGTGCTGCTCAGCCTGTGAAAAGACAGTAAACAAGTGGGAACTTCTTGACCTCCCCCTCCGGCAATATGGCAGGAATTCTGCACAGTGCTGAGGATCACAGCACCCCTTCTACTGACACCACTGCTCCTTTTGGCCCAGCAGCCCCAGGGACTGGGTGCTGGCCTTGAGACTTGGCACCAGCTTTGTGTTTAGATGGGACTGAGATGGCCACCTTCCCATAGGACAGAC